AGAAGTGCAGAGGTAATGATACCCGACTTGACAGGAGCTTGAGAGTGAGTGCTCGAAGTGGTTATAAAAGGCTCTCTCCCCCCTTCCCCTAAGAAGGAGGTATGGGATAACTTTGCGCCATCAGATTTTTTATCTTGCCTTTGAGGAAATACTAACTTGAGCTTTAGAGCACCCTTTGCTCGCTTTCTTCTCCGTTTAAGGCACCCTTTGCTCCAGCTAGAGACAAGATCGTTGACAGTTAGGACTGGCCGGATTGCGCTCCATCACCCACCTTTTCCTCTATCCCTGCAATAGCACATTCGCCCATTCATCATCAACACCTCCCTGTTCTCCACCTTTCTCATTTCCGCCTGCTGCTGCAACCCAGATTCGTAGCATCGATAGAATTTTTTTTTTCTCTTCCCCGTAACTTGTTCACTCCCGTCGCATCCTACTGCCATTCTCCCTTTTGACCTCGTTAGAACCACCGCTGTCGTCAGAACCAATGTCCATTCCATAGTCGAGGGTTAAACAATCCCAACAGAAACCAGCATGAGAAACGCTAAGGCAACCCAAACCAATGCCCATTCCATGGTCACTCTGACTCTCTTTAGGCATCCGAGAGAGCTCAACCGAATACTTTGAGGTTAACGACAAATACCAAAGGGAAACATGGATAAACAACTTCAAACGGAGAAAGATAATACTTGAAAGAAATGAAAGGAAGAAGGAATTCGTATCCTTCCTTCGTAGCACCATTCTCAAATGGTTCAGACTTTTCAACCTCTATGCGGAGATGGTGGATGGCATTTGGGGAGCGTTTCTTTTATTCTTTTTTTTTTTTGTGATTTTGAAAGGGGAAAATCGGTCAATGTGAGTTTGGTTCTTCCTATTGATCAATAAATCAGAATGGTCATACCTATTTACCGAGTGGGGACTAGGGATAAGTGATACTCATTTTGGGTAGGTAAAAAATTCAAAATTGTAAATACTTAGAATGGGATAAAAATACCCCTTTTAATAATAAATTTTTATAGCTAAAATAATTAGTCTAATTTACATAAAAAATAAAATAACATAAATGAATACACTTACCTGTTTTTAAGAAATACTTATCCAGTTAAGTGCACTTACCTGAATAAACAACTTAATGAAAAACGAAGGGAGATGAACAAAGCCCCCATGTCGCTGCTATTGCAGCTGCAAGGTGATGAACGGTAACTTAAAATAGATGAAAAGAAGGGTCAAATTGGTAAAAAAAAAATATTGTTTTATGACCCGCTCACTGTTTTGTCAATATGTTTCAAAATGTATCTGATTTTGCAAATTCATTAAACTATATTATTATTATTTTTTTTTATATTTTTTTTTTGTAAAATGCCCTTACTTATATCTCCCTAGGATTTTGGTTAGACCTTCCCTCAGGTTTGATCTATTAACTTGCTCACTCCTCGTGGTTTAAGGTTTAGTCACTCATTACACCCCTTTACTAACATGCCATCAATTATGGTGATTGAAAAAATACTCGGATATCATTTAAAATTTCCAAAAAGCCACTTTACCCTTGTATATTAACAAACCATATAAAATCTTCGTAGTACCATTACCATATAAAATCGACCTTCTCCCTTACATTACAAAGGAACACCCATCAACGTATTTTTGGCCCAAGTAGTTCTGCACCACCAAGCCAGTTGGGTCGTAGTCGTAGGTATTACCCAGTTGTTATTGGATGATGTTGAAGTTGTGACCGTTGGGCTAATCGTACCAGAGATCGATAATATGGAGAACTCCAACTGTAGTTCATGAAGAGGATGGCGGAATTGGTGAGGCCATGGCGTTGGTGTTGGAACTGGTTCTGTTGAGTAGATAACAGAAGAGCAAAGACAGTAAAATTAAAGAGCTAGTAGATAAGGTGTGTTGTGATGATGGGTTTGGCTGCCATTATCGTTATCTACTTCTTATCCTTCCCGTTTTACAGGAGATGATCAGAGAGAGAGGAGGTAAGACTAAAGTGGCACTTAAGAATTGAATTTAGATTGCATTGATGCTTTACAAGTTTACATGATATGATCAACAATTTACATTTTTTTTTGGTATTCAATAATTTATGACTGTACATGAAATGATACATGTATCAACCAATGTACATTGCACTGGATGCTACAGCTTGACTATTCGGGCAGAAGGGGTAATCGAGAAACAGTAGTACCTCCACCACCACCACTTATGGATCCACATCCTGGTTCCCTCTGGCCAGATCTATAGTGTTTAGCAGAAGTAGTTTTCTTGATTAGCCTCTGTGGGAGAATCTGCAACCTGGGGTTCAACTCTGTACCTGACTGCTCAGCAGTTAGCTGATAGCTCTCCACAAGCTCTAGCTGTCGAGCTATTATGTCAGATCGTCTTGGGAGAAGTTCAACAGGTTCTCCACCGGGAATCACAATGTACTCAATTGCAAGTCGAACCTCCTGCTAGGATGAGATAAACATGAGAAGCTCATACAGTTTGTGTTTTAGCAGCTGAAATGGATATAATAGTACTGCTTAAAAGAGAAAACCAATTCCTTGAAAGATCAGAGCAAGAAGATCTAAAATGAAGAATAAAAGTTGCATACACTGCATATTCTGATATGCAGAATGCAAAATCAAAGTTTAATAAAAGATGGGAGATATGGACAATAAAAGGCTTTGCATCAATGCAGCTGGATAATGCAAAAAAGTAGATAAATAAATCATTTATGATGATTTGGAAAATCAGTATGCATAACAATCGTATATACCATATTACTTGACCATTTACTTTGTCACTTTTACGAAAAGAATGCAATTAGAAAATGACAAACTTCAAGAACACTCCAAAGAAAACTCTTTCAATGACATTCTTAACATATGAAATTATGTTACTACTTCAGAACAACTTTGTAACAATCACCATTCTTAAGGAAAGTTTTGTGGACCTTAACCACCATTCAAGTAGCAGTATAGATAATCAATATCTAGGTGAAAAATTGATAAGGGATGTATTGTATTCCTGTCACTAGAAAGCTCTCTAGCTACCCTTCTTTTAATTGCTTCATTGTCATTGCATTGGATTACTGCCCTACTTATGGATGAAAGGACATCATACTAATTTCATGAGGATACCTTTCTTTTTATTTTCTTCATTGTCATTGCATTGGATCACTGTCCTACTTATGGATGAAGGGGCCTCATACCAATTTCATGAGGCTTTGATCAAACTCAATGACCAGCTAGGACACAAATATAGGCTGTCAAGTTCTAAAAATTGATAAACCCAATTATTGAAAGCATGGCTCGCTTATTCACCCTACTTTGTGCTGCTAACAGAAACTCTAAGGCTCAGTTTGGAAGGAGTACAAATGCAAATATGTACAATGCAAACACATACAAAATAATATAAAATATAAGGTTTTGCACTCTACATATTTGTATTTGTATCCCTTCCAAACTGGGCCTAAAAGTTAAATATCAAAATAGAAGCAAAATGTAATCCATTACCGCAAATATGACACCTTGAAATTACATCTACCTGACCTACTTCCTCGTTAGAAAACAGATCAAGCAATTATAATGCGTAATGACTGCCTCAGAATCTTTATAAGTTCTAGTAAGATACATTATGTATCTTTGAACCGGGAAGGCAACTCAATACCATGCTCCCCCCTACACAGGCAGCATTCATGACTTGGTACTTCATGCAATTATAAATCTATTGATCCCTTATTCCATGGAAACAGAAGAATGAGAGTAGAAGTTTGCCCAAAGCTTGAATTAATAATACACTCACACTTTTGTCATGCATAAAGGTAAATCATTTAAAAGCTGCAAGCCTGCAAGGAAACATTTAAAATATTTGATGTAGATCCGTCTTTTTACCTTCTTTTATTTTCACATTAAACTTGGTATCACATCCTTGTTTTTTCACCTGGGATAGGTTGACTACTACATAATACATATAATCTCTTGCAACTGCCTATAACTTGGTTAGTTTACTTATAATATCTTGAATCTTGGATTTTTATCCACAAAATGAGTGTAGAGGAGATCAAGAAATGGATGGATGAGTTTCCAGATAGGATAGGAAGACCTTTTTTTTTTGTTTGGGGACTTAGACAGACCTTGGTTCACCTTTTACCTTCTTTCATCTCTCTCAATGAAATTTAACAAGTAACAGAAAAAGCATACTGCACCCATAGGAAACTGAGTAACCACTAACTACACCAGTGAGAAGTGATCTGACACAAGTTGAGGGCTCTAATTCAAAAGAGCTGAGCAAGAAGAAAGACCTACAGGTTCAAAATTGATAGGGGATATGGCCTTTGATATGGTGGAACCCATACCATACATATGGGATAAGGTCTTGTGGACTGAGTTGAGTTATCACAGATCCTGGGATTCTTCTCAAATTTGAATATAAATTGGCAAATATTGATTACTAAACTTGAAAAAATAACAAACTCAGTTACTAGATGCATAACACCCTTGAAAAATTTCAGATCTACAAATTATCATGAGTAAAATAACTATGCATTTTCTTTCATCTGCATTTGGAAACCTATTTATTTAGTTCTTCAAGTTATTTTTTTTCATTCAATACAATTTAACCACTTTTTTCCGGTAATTCACTAATCATTAACCAGCTGCAGAACATATTTTATAATATAGAATGGAATTTTTGAGAACAATCATAACAATGAGCCATTCATCTGCCTATGTACACTAATTTCCCTCGAAGTCTAAATTATCTAAAGCTAATATTCTTTTAGGCTTAAAATGTAAAAGTTCACATCAGAAGATAAATAATTAGAAAAAGATGCACTGTACCAAGTTTTATACCTCCAAGGCATCAATCTCCTCCAACGAGGGCTTTCTTTTTGGTGCATCATCTTCAATTTCAATGTCTATTGAAGAATTTTTGTGTGCCCGATTCAGTACAGGACCAAACGATTCCATTCCCAAAATCATGCGAACTGCCTTTACCATTTGAGCCATGGTATGGGACTGCACTTTCAAACATAGAAGCAATGGCTCAAATTCATATATTTATGAGTCCTACCATGGTACCTAACAAATTAATAACCAATCAACTGGTATTTTATTCATTCACCTAGGGGTTCTGATTGGTTAAACTTTCTTAGGTATTGTATCTTTCAGTACCATAGAAATTGACTATACCATATAGCTAGTTGAAAAAAAGTGGGAGATTACCTTGATAACAAATATGGGTAACTTATGGAATTTAGCTACACCACGGATCCATGGGTTCTGCTTAATTTCAGAACTTGATGCCAATATTGCATCTGCAGTTCCAATATCATCAGTTACATCCAGTTCGTCCTCCAGCCCCATTACTTTCGCTACTTGCAGTAGATCGGCTTCCAGGATCTGAAATACAATCATTTCATTATTGTATTATTGAATTATTTTCTGGCTTGAGGGAAAAACAAATCAAGAATAAAATCTTTATACTCATGAAATGGATTTATCACAAAGAAAAGTCATCATCAAAGAATAGACAAACAAGTCTATTTTAACTGAAAAGTTGCTAACCTTGTAAGTGTAAACACACACTGGTGAACTCTTCTTTTTCATGGATCCATTACTACTCCATTTCTTGGTATTTCTATCAGGATAATCAGTAACATCTTTGATATGTTCTATTTCAGCAGTTTTTTCTTCAGTGTTAGTGATGTTGGATCCTTCTATAAGCTGCTTTTGAAATTCCAGGGTAGGTTCCACAGAACTCTCTGCCTTGGCATCCATGTGGCGGGCCTCATAAAGGGGAGATTTTCCTATTGGATAATAAAGTTCTAATCAAAATCAATTATTGATCAAAACTTTCTGGTTTAGAGAAGATTATTACAGAAGAATATTACATGACAGAAAAGAAAAAAGAATGAACATCAACTAAGCATTCAAAAGCAGGAGCCCAGATTACCTGCCAGAATAGCATCTACTGTTGCATCTAATCTATGATGGACACGGCATTCAGTCCTCGATATCATCTCAACAGCACAGGTAAATGCTGGAGGCCCTTTCCTCTCTAATATTGTCTTCTGAACTTTCCTTTTCCTTGCTTCATCATCACCAAGTGTAACACTCTGCATACATATATCATTCAGAAGGTGCAAACAATTTATTCTTAAGTAACCAACCTTCACATTTTTCATCTGGTAAGTCTGGTACACTACTGAACTCAATTGTTTAAACATGGATTTTAATTTGTAATAGCATCCCATAAAGCACTTTTTTTCATATACCATTTTTTAAATTCAAAATTTCCTCGTTGATTTTTCTGATTAGCTTTGAATATCACAAGGAAATACAAAAAAAAAAAAAAAAGATAGGAAAAAATATTTTGCAGATGCAAATGAGAAACCTTCATGTCACATCCAATCACTATTAGAGATGTAAAGGTATTGCTTGGAAAGTTATATTCTTTGCCTTTTAATGACATTTCAGACAAGGTTACATGACATTAAGAAATATGGAAGTCCACACCAATCATATAGATTGAAGAAACTGTCAATTTATATCCAAGATGTAATCTCTATTAACTGTCAAAAAGCAATATGTACGCTTCCTATGGAAAATGAATCAGATTTAGTGAGTCACCATTCAACAATATAAATCTGCTTTTTCTATGACATTTGTTAGAATATCCAACTCTCAGTTAAGGAAATTCCAAAAGAAAATATAGTCAATAAGATGCATTTAACAGCGCTCAGAAAATGAGTCATTACTACTTTTCCAGAGATCTTAGTTTTGGACAGAATGGACATAAGCCTTTTAAGTAACATGCATACCCTAAACTATTGGTTGGCCTTAAAAATCCATTCATTGAATGAGTAGACTGGTGTGCAACCATAGGATTGATAAGTATCATTTCATGTTAAGTCCTTTAGGGTATGGAATTTGTGTATCAATTTTGTCAAGCAATCAGTGAAATAATAGACATTTCTACACATAATATTGTTTAACACCACAAATGATATTGTCTAACACCAATTTCTCTGAGCCCAGGTTATATAAGTTAATAAAATTGAGCCTTGTGCACTGGGTTGTCCTTGAAATTGGTAAATTCTGTACTCCTATCAATTGTCATATTCTATTCCTGCTGCCAGTGGGCTTGACCACCCAACACAATACAAAGAGATCAGAAAGTAAGGATGTCGCTATGCACCTCTATGCCACCAACAAGGATTTGCAGAGACGGATTCTTTATTATGTTTTCGATAGTCATCCCATGTGCTGTTCCAACCAGTTGAACACCCCTTTGAGCAATTGTGCTGGCAGCTAATGCCTCAAGCTCTGTTCCAATTTCATCAATTATAATTGTTTCAGGCATATGGTTTTCAACTGCTTCAATCATAACCTGCATGGCCATTGAATAGACAATTAGGTACAAGTAGCAGCAATTAGGTAAAAAATAACACAAGTGAAAGCAGTTGATGTTTGGAACTTGCATTATGAGCAATTTCAGAAAATACAGGCAGAGGTATCAAGTTCAAGTCTCACATTGTGTTGCATGTTAACGTTTGGAACTTGCATCCTCCTTGCGCAGCCAATTCCTGAATGGGGGACATCTCCATCACCTCCAATCTCATTTGATGTATCAACAATGATAACTCGTTTCATGTGTTCATCTGCCAACATTCTAGCTATTTCTCTGCAGTAAAATTTTCTCAATTTTATTATTATAAAATAGTAAGATTTATACCCCATTTTAGTTCACAATGAAGTTTAAACAAATTTGAATGTCTATGTTGCCCCTATTCAGATTCTTCCATTTATTATTTTTCCACTTGGCAAGAACAAACTGAAATATTCCTGCAAATTAAGTGGCTGAGATGAAAGTGAACTCCAATTTGAAAACGCAAGGGACCTCAGATGTACAGGCAGTCTGGCATTCTAGAAATATCAAAGTGAAAGTCTTTTTTCACTTCCAGACTCCAGTATTGTACTGTTGAATTAAAACAGTACTTCCCATGTGGATGACATTGTGGGAATGATCAGCAACAACAAGCAAAAAAAAAGGGGAAGAAGGAAGTTGTATTAAAACAGTACTGTTGTATTAACGTTCTTACATTGTTGTGCCTACTAGATCCGGTCCCCAAAACAACATAGTGGAATAACAGAATGTATTTACTTGCAGGATATAAAGCTCTGAATCAAAGACACTTCAGTGGATATACATTCTATCCTAAATAAAAAAAAAGATTAAAAAAGAACATCAGAAACTTAAATACCTGATCAAAGTTGTTTTGCCAACTCCAGGAGGTCCTATGACCAAGATGGAACCTCCCCCTTCAATCAAGTCACGTATCATCTCTGCACTTCCAGATATAGCCCGACCCACCCGACATGTGAGGCCAATTATTTGCATCTTGCGATTCCGGATGGCACTGATACGGTGTAGAGAACGATCAATACCTGAACGGTTGTCATCAGAAAAGTCGCCAACCTGGAGAGATAAGGAAACTTTACATAAAAATCCATCCAGTCCTTATCTCGCTCTACAGCATCAAAACAATATAAAATGCTGCAGTCATTCTCATTCAACGGCTTAATTTGATTTCTAACTTATCTTGGCAAATATATAATCTATCAGTCCATGTACTTTTCCATTAAAAAGAAATTGTTTACTTTATCTTTCTAGAGCTCTTCGAAACAATAGAAAATTGTTTCTTACCAGTCTAAAAATTTCGTAGATCCTTCATACGAAACATCCCAATTTGAATTTCAATTCTTCAGGTGAAATAAATTATGTTTAATATAGGCAGTAAGATATAAATAGAATTGGGTCTCTATCTTCCTATAGAACTCCCAAGTCCTACCCAATCAATGTAAAATTCCTTATTTCCCACCACAACAAAAGCCGGGATTACAAAGAGGAGTATATAAAACCAAACTATATTACCTTCGAAATCGCATGCCTGAGATCTTCAAGCCTTACCGGCTCTTCCGATATCACCCAATCGCCCGAAGGAAACCGAGCAATAGGTTTCCGTCCCAAATCCATGACTAACTCAATCAAATCCCCAAGCTCCGTATGCCGAAACAGATCCTTCCGCATTCTCACAGGAACCAACTCCAGGAACGACACTAATTCTGAATCACCGTCCGACCTCGAAGTGGATGGCAAAGACGGAGGCAAAGACGTTGACAGGATCCCATTTCCCGCAGCAAACCGTTCAGAGGGCCTGCGAATTTCGGGAGATCGAATCGAGGAGGGTGGCGATCCAGAAGAAGCAATTCTATTGCGCGATCGACGAGTTCGACGAAATGACGAAGAGACGGTGCAAACGAGGCTAGAGCATTGCAGGTAAGCATAGGCTGATGCTGGAATTCGGTTCGCAGAGTGCCATGAGCTGTTGATGTCGAGTAGCACGAAACGTGAATTCAAAGCTCTCATCTTCGTCGATTGAAATTGCAGAAGAGAGAGAGAGAGAGGCTTGAGAGTTTATTTGTTGCTGAGCTGCGTTGCGTTCTGATAACCCGGGAAATCTGAAGAAGGAGAAGGAGAAAGGGGATGAGGAAGAAGATTCCATGGGATCTGCTTTGATTTGTCGTCCGGTGGGCCCACAAAGAGCAACAGAACAAACTGTCGAGGACCGTTGAATCTCGGTGCTGGTACCACGTGGGCTGCGGACCACACGTAGGGGAGAGAGGTAGGTTGCGTGCCACTCCTAAAGAATCTTCTACTGTTTGACACGCATTCATCTTCCTCGCCTCGGGCACGGAGCTTGGATACGGGCACTCAGGATCCATAGCCGGTCTGGGCGGTGGGACCCATAATTTGACATACGACGGTTAGCCTGAAGATTATTATGTGGGGTGGGGCCAAAAATCAACTTAAAATTTTAAGGGTAAAATACAAAAACCTCCCCTCTCAAGTTTCTGATAATAATAAAAATCTCCTCTCTACTTTACCTTTAGCAAAATTCTCCTTTCTACTTTCAAAAAAAGCGACAAAAACCTCCCGTCCTTTAATGAATCTGACGGAAACCAAGGAAAACTATATTTTTATCCTCATACCGCACCTAAGCAATTTGTGAAATATCAATTTTACCCTTATTCGAAAAACTCACTATCCACTCTTGAGAAAACCAGTCGAACCCTAACCTTAACTGTTGTAAGCAGACAGTGCTCAGAATATTCCACTTCCTAGAATCTTCCGGTGACGATTCTTCACCAAACGATGACCGGTTTCATCTTGGTGGCCGATTTCTTCACCAGAGTTCGTTTTCTTCTTCATCGGACATCTGTGGCTTTCCAAACATTTTGGCAACTATTCTTCACCAGACGATATCTGTGTTTTCCATAACAGGTTCATTTTTTGAATCTATGCAGCAGCATGTGTCTATTCAGGTGTTCCATAAATAAGTTCATTTTTTGAATCTGTGCAGCATGTGTTTGCTCAGGTGTTCCATAATAGGTTCTGTACATGGATTTCCATTGTTCTTGCAAATAATAGGGTCAGGTCCAACTGCTTTACCAGATGATGTAAATGAGATATGTCGGGTGTTGAGTGATTTCCGTTGCATTCATCATGACCTTGAATCTGCACTTGAACGTTTCTCAGGCAAGATTTCTACTAATTTGGTTGAACAGGTGTTGAAAAGGTGTAAAAATCTAGGGATTTCTGCTCACAGATTCTTTCTTTGGGCCCGAAAGTTGCCGGGTTTCAGTCATAGCAGGGAAAGCTATCATATTCTAGTAGATATCCTTGGCTGCAGCAAGCAATTCCCTCTGATATGGGATTTTCTTTCTGAGATGAAAGATAGTGGGGATTATGAAATCGGGCATTCTGGTCAACAAAAATTAATTCTATGGCCAACAAAGCACAATCTTTGCTTAGTATTCGAAATCAGCTAGAATGGATTTTCATTCCCAAGGAGGAAATGGGAATGGCCCATTCCAATTCTAAACCCCATTTTTATGAACCAAACGAATCTTTAATTCTTAACTTTCAATTACATTTGGATTGAAGACCTCATTGCTGATATGAATTCTTAGGATCCAAAAATGGAGTTAATTGAGTAGCTGACCTATTTTTTAATAAATAAAAATAATTTATTAAAGAGAAAAAGAGAACTATTACAGTAGAGTCCCAGAGGGAGGGACCTGGAACAGAAGCTACATAATGCAACTCAAAATAAGGACTGAAATCAACAAATAAACGTGAGACGAGCTTATTAGAACAACCCAAAAACAAAGACGTTGAAAAAACTGAGCAACAACGATAACAATTCTGTTTCCCTAAGCGATCTAGCTCCCAAACACAAAGCCCTTGCATTTGGGCACACCAAACTCAGGAGGAACAACCTTTGTCCATGTGTGAAGCTATCTTGATACCCAACCTCTCCCTCCCCTACCTCTGCCTCTTGTTTCCTTTGCCTTTCTCAAATCTGCCCTCATTGAGACGTCTACGTAAAAATCTACCAATATCCTCAATTTTCTGCTTCTTCAAGAGAAAAATTGCTCTCTAACTCCTCTTCTCGAAGACTGTTCTCTCTCTCTGAGGATTGAGCCAATTAAGAAACCAAGAATAGAGATATGGAAGATAGGATTGTGTGACCGAACCAAGAGTAGAGATGAAACGGTTTTACATTTTTTTCCCATGCGACGCTATAAGAAGTTAAGCGACCCTGACCTAAATCCGACAAAAAATTTTGGCTTTGTAGTTCCCTGGTTTTGCTGCTGACCGAGAAATCCTTCTTCTAGGTTCACAATTCTTCTTCTTGGTTCGTTCTCCAGTTGCCCTCTTCCTTTGTTCCTTCCTCACCCATTCTTCAGGATAATAAGAAAATACAAAGGGTATTTTAATAAACAGATGTACATAAAAACTCGTATAGGATTAAAATGGGTATTTAAAAAAAAATTAGCATCCATTTAACGGTTTCTGTTAAATTCATTAATGGAATGGAGGTTTTTATCGCTTTTTTTCAAAGTAGAAGAGAGGATTTTGTTAAAGGTAAACTAAAGGAGAGATTTTTATTATTGTTAGAAACTTGAGGGAAGGTTTTTATATTTTACCCAAAATTTAATCCAAATTTAAGTTTCTTCACAAAGCGCGCCCAAGACCGACATCACAGCACGTTTCAGCTGTGCATACGAAATATCTCCCACGAATTAAAAATTTACAAATACGAGATATTCCAAATGCACGGTTGATACGTTGTGTCACGGCTGATACGTTGTGCGAGGTCGGTGTGAAGCGCGCTCTGTCAGGACAAGATCCGAAAGAAGTTCGTACCTTAATCTTTTAGCGTACGATTATTCTTTAGTGGGAACATCTGTCACGTGGTAAGTTAAGGAGCCTCGGACGGCAACTGGCAATAATAATAATAGTGACTGACCACTATTATGCCATGCTGCGAATATATTGTCAATTTGAGAGGCCTTATTTTTGCTTTTGGGAATGCTTATTGGACAAATGTGTATCTATAGGATAAATATTTGTGTTTATCAATGTTTTAAAAGCCTATGTATACATATATGAACATGTACGTGCATTTTCACATAGCAATATCTTCAAGGTAAAACTATTTATAATTAATGGACAGTTATAAGTAGATAGTTTCTAAAATGAGAGTAAAGGATATATATGTCATCTTTATGCTGATTGTACATTTAAACAAGGGAGGTAGAAAATGTTCAATGAAAATTCTATAAAGAAGGGGTATTCACTCTTTTATAGATGGTATAGATATGTATATATGTATATGTGTATAAATATATATTTTATCAATAAATAATGTATAAAATATGTTTTAGATACGTTATATGTATTTTTATATTTCTTAACTTGGTTTTTAATTTTATTATTTATAAAAAAAATAAAAAATTACAATTTGAGGCCAAAATAAAAAAGTTACCCAAAATTAAAAAAAATCACCCCAATCGAACATCGGAGTGCAAAGTTATGGCCTCCGAGAGTTTGCATACATTGAGTGTGCAACCCACAACTCGATGACTAGGTCGAACCGGGCGGACTATGTCAACGATTTTTGGTCATCTAACGAGTCTTGATTGAACTGAACCTGGAATCTTGGCCAGATGATGGTTCGAACTGTTTGACCAATCAAGTCAATGACGGGTTGAAAACACTGGTGTTTTGCATATTTTATGAAAAATTATTTATTTTAAAAGGGGGTAATATAGGTACTATGAAAATTATGTGACGGGTAAACAAGACAGGCCAAACATTTTTGAAAAAAGTGCTTAATAATAAGCCAAAATTTTTGGCTTCTTCAAAACAATCTTATTTTTAAAATAAGCATTTATTTGGATTTTTTTTTCTAAATACGAATAAGTACATATTGGTGTGGTCCCATCTAAAATAAATGCTCATTTCAATGAGTGCTTAAAGGTGACTTCTTCTCTCAAGCTCCTACTGACCATAAACCATTGTCAAAATGGAGGCCAAGAATCCAAGATACTGAAAAGAAGTAAATTCAAATTGGGTTGGGAGAACCAAATTTTTAAATGTTGTTAAATGACCCATCAAAGGAAAGGGTAGAAAGCTGACTAGGTTTCAACTCAATAATGAAATTTATGTTATTATTTATTTATTTTATTGACCATGTATATTGATTGTTACAGAAGAAGTAGTAGTAGCCACTTGTATGTAATGCGTGCACTCCTACACGTTAAGTCACTTGTTTTTTGGACCTAGCTAAGTAGCTAGTTTGAGAGAATTGAATTTCAACTTGAGTACCGGACTAACAAAATCGCAACTTATGGCTGCAAAAGATTCCAACACTAGAATTAGCTGTCGTGCTCTACTGTTATTCATTTATGATATTGAACAAAAATAAGCATTAAAAATGAAAAATGATGATCATTGTTATTAATTATGAAATGGATAAAAATATAAAAAGAAAAAAAAAAGAGAATTTATATTTAACAAATGATTCATTAACCTGGTTAAATGGTTTAATGGTTCAATTGGTCGGATTCACTTCAGTCAACATTTTTTTTTTGGAAGTAAACACCTTCGGTGGGGTATAATCAATCTGAGTCGAGTTGAGTTTTGGGTGGCTTTACCTTGAGCTTCACTCAAAAACTCAGAGCTTGACATTTAATTTGGGCTCGATTTGGTTCAAGCTAATTATAAATAAATTGCTATTAAAAATTATAAATAAATTAATATTTGAAATATTATAAATAAAAATATATTAGAAAACTTGATTATATACTATAATTATAAAAAACAATATTGTGAAATATTATAAATAAAAATATATTAAAAATAGTATTTTATTAGAAGTTCAATTAGACTCACAAGCTACTCAAGTTGAGTATTACAAAACTCGAATTTGGCTCAATTACCTACTCAACTCAAGTCAAACTCGATTTAAATTGATAATCTTCAAGCCAAATGCGAGTATTAGCAAGCTGAGCCCAAATAGCTCACAAGTTGGCTCGGCTCACTTACACCCCTAAGCTTGAGAGCTAACATACCTGAAAATTTTGGTCAGGTGTTGGATTAACCCATTTCAATTG